GAAACTTCCCAATACTCCACTCTGGTCTGTCCAGTAGTTTTCCTCAGCCACAAGCTTCAGTTAAGGAAGTATATAAATTAATTATGCCCAAAGCTACAGAGGGATGCTGTTTCAAACTGGAGTATCTGGAAATGTGTTTGTATTAAATCCATTCAACAGTTTTCAATGGAGAGAGGAATCTTTTGAGATTATTCAGAGAACTGGATATAATTATGATCCCTCGCACATATACTCAGCTCAGAAAACATTTTACCACTTATTATTACAAGTAGCATTACCCACATAAAGGGTCACTTGCCACCTAGCCTGCACAGATGTTACTCAGATAACATTTTTTCCCTCTGTGGAGAGGAAAAAGTTAGTTTACATCACTGTTTAGTTTCCTTGATCTTACTCTTTCTCAGATCCTAACTGTAAGTTCTGAGTAGCTCAACTGAGAGAGATCCTGTGCAAAGAGCAAACTCCCACCATTTGACACAGCCATGTTCCAACACTACTGTCTTCCACAAGTCATATAACAAGGGGAGGTCACTTAAATTATACAGTAAAACTAATAATGAAGACTTGCAGGTATGTTCTGATTGAATGATGGAATAGTGAATGAGGTACATGATTGGCTTGCTGCCTCTTTAAATGTAAATCTCTTGCAGCAGAGTGTCAAACTTATTCAACTTATTGCCCTCTTTTAAGAAAAAATATTACTTGATTCCCCATCCCGCCGCCCTGCCCCCGGAATCAACCTTCTTTAAGCGAACAAATAAAGTGTTCCCTCACAAGTCTCCCAAGTCACGAGTACAACTTGAGGTTTGTACTCCCTCTTCTGTTTTTTTGGGGGGGTCACACCCGGCAATGCGCAGGGGTTACTCCTGGCTCTGCAATCAGGAATTACTCCTGGCGGTTCTCAGGGAACCATATGGGATGCTGGTAATTGAACCCTGGTGGGCCACGTGCAAGGCAAACACCCTAGCCCGTTGTGCTACTGCTCCAGCCCTGTACTCCCTCTTCTGAATAGTTTCAGTGAGCACCGGAAGTGTCACTTACTCTGGACAACACTCTCCTACAGACCCCCCCCCCCTCTTCCACATGCCCTCACGTGGGCTCTAAAGCTAGTGATTAACCCAAAACTTTCTCACCTCCTAAGCTTCGCATTACTTCCATGATACCAGCTGTCTCCTTGCAGACACTCCTGAATCAGAAGAGTAAAAAGATAACAGTAATTGCAGATTTACTAATAAAGAAGGAGGCTTATGAATGAAGATCCCTGTTCTTAACCAGAACGAAAGGGTTTTTCTCTTCTTAGAAATAAAAGAAAAAACCTGAGCCATGCCTGGTAGCAACATAAAATGGTCAGCTATGGTAGTAAATTTCATTTCAGAAATCAGTAGATCTTCACAATATGGAAAATGTACCTTTCATTTGTAAAATTTGGATGCTAGTTTTTATAAAGTGATGTGGTATACTACTTCATTCAAGAAACCACTTTAGTGTCTCACCTACCCTACCCTTTTCTAGTCCCATAACTGAAATAGAAGCAATTTCACCAGCCAAATTGAATGGCTTTACAGGTGGGTGTCTGGACTTAATTTTCATTTTTATTTATGTACAAGTTATTGCTGCCAAGTCTCATGAAGCAGTTTATTCTACCATAAAAATATTTTAATGAAAGTCATATTTCTGTAATACCTTAATCTGTCTAAGAATTAATGAATAAATCACCTTTCATTCCACCGTGGAACTTTTTCTCTAATAGATTTCTTTGCTCGGGTAATACATTAGAAGTCATGTTTGTTTCCAAGCTGACACAGCTGGAAGTGTCTGTACAAAAGTTAACAATGAAAAGTTCATAGAGGTTTTTGAATATCTTCTGTTGAAATAATTTTCCATAGTTCTCATTGGACATAGACAGTCTACATTACTGCCACCATTCACAGCTTTCACCCTATGCTGTCTCAAGGTAGCACAAATGGTCCCTGCTTCTTAAATGACTAATTTGTCTCATGCAATGAAATTGTTTAGAATTTCATAGACGTTCCAAGTGAAATTCAATTATGATGTAGCAAGAGGTTTAAGAACCCGAAAGTCAATGCAAATTCAATTTTCCTGTGTACAGTTCTTCTCTGTGGTCCACCATCACTTCAGAATTAACATTTCCAAACACTGGATCCAACATCTCCTTCCAATAAGAAGGATTACCAACAGAATAAAAATGGCAACAAAACATAATTTCTATTTTTGTTTCCAGTCTTTGAATTATACTACACATTCTAAATTTCCAAAACTACCAACCTAAGGGTTGGGTTGGATTTGTCTGAGGACATGAAAGAGTAGTGACGACTGCTAAATTCTAGTTATTCTTAAGAGTTTTACTTATTTAAACCTATACACTATCTATATCTTCCTGGCCAGCACTAACTCGGGAATTTATCTGAAACTCTTCCCAATCTTGGAACAGCCTCTCAGATTCTTCACTCTCCAACATGTGCCCAGAGTAACTGTTATTGAATACAGATATCAATATACACATCTTTTATTTACAAACCTTTTGTTTAATAACTGCTGATCTCAGGATAAAATTTTAAAAAACAATAATAATATATTAAAATATTAGTGCACTTATTTATTTTCTAGTCTTCTGTGTGCCTTCCCGGTGTTTAATCTATCTATAAACAGGAATTATTTGCTGTTCTCTCGGCACACAGTTTTACTTTTCTTCCTCTTACCTACTCTTTAATTTTCTATCTAGTCCAGAAGCATCCAATCTCCCCTTTAACTGGCCTTTTGCTTTCTTCTTGGAGTTGCAGTCTGGGAATAATTTTCTCCTTAAATCTTTTCTTTGAAGGCTGGTAAGGTGCCTCTTCAAGTTATTGGTCATGCGCCACAGGCTAACACATTGTGCGCCCGTCAGTCATGATTCTCACAGTCCCCACAGAACTGTGTCATGATTATCAGGAGCATGAGCAGTCCAATCAGCCCAAGCCTACATTGGTTCTATAGAGACTGATTTTCTTGCGGTTCTCTTTATGTCCCCTGAAGGCTTCCCAGAAAACCAGAACCACTGCACAAAAACATATTTCATGACGTCGACAAATAATATAGAGATTTCCTTTTGATCCCTTTTATCTTTTTTTTTTTTTTTGCCACGGAGCATCCTGCAAGACCCAATAAAAGTTATTTTATGGGAAGAGGAAGGAGATGCCTGGATAGTATAGAGTTATCTACTTTGTCAGAAATTCCAAGCATGCTATGTTTGGACATTTTCAAAGTGAACTCTAACCCAGTCCTGGAAGTTTTTCTGGAAAGGAAAAGACATTCAAAGTCAGAACTTGGGATGATTTTCAAAGTCAGAACTTGGGATGATTTTCAAAGTCAGAACTTGGGATGATTTACTCCTTGGTGTATGAGGAAACATTTTTGTTCAACAGAGTACATCTGCAAGATTTATTCTGACCGGTCAGTCAGAATTGAGACTGTTTAGAGTTGTTACCTGTGAATGAGGATATATTCAATTTTTACACAGGTAACAACACTAAACATCTTCAAAAAATTACAAACCATGTACAAATATTAAATTATAGATTTTTCCTAAGATACATCATTATCATATTTCTTCTGGATTCAGAACTATAAACTACAAATTGTGCAAACATTTGATTTTATGGGATATTTGAAATTTTAAGTAATTTAAATAAGCTCAACCTACAGATGTTGCACAGTGCTCTTATTATGTAAGGGCAAAAGAAAGATAAACAATTAATTATTGACTTCCTATGAACTTATTTTAAATCAGCATATCATTCTCAGTTGATATACAACTTTTCCCCCAAATATATCTTTGATTGTAGTTATCCTTATCTTTTGTATTCATGTTATTTGACTAGACACTCCTTCTAAGTTTTAAAAAAGTATAATTCAAACTTACTAGTATGTTTTTTCATGTTTCTGTTGTTTTTTAAATTGAATCCTATCAATTTAAATCTCTTTAATTTCAGAACATGATAAAGAGTTTTTCATGATTTATTCATTCATAAAACAAATATTTTTGAGTGTCTACTATATACTAGAGACTTTCCTAAACATTTGGTATACAGAATCAACTAAATAAAACAAAAATTTTGCTTCACAGAGCATATGTTTAGTCACACAAAAGACAAGTAAAATATGTGCAATTAAGAAAAATAAACTTGCATTATTTAGCAGAGAAATGGAAATAAGGCAAGTGGTATATAAAAGTGGAGGTAGGGAGATGTGCAAATTTAAAGACAGGAATGTACTCATCAATATGGGTAATAATGTTTCAAAAAGTGACAGATGAGGATTGTCAAAAATAGCCTTTGGTTTCCTTTTTTAAAATAGATTTGAGCAGAAATTAGTACCTTATATAGAATATAAGGAGCTATTTTATCTTTTTCTCAAAAACTCCCATCTTTAAAGCTACTTAAAAATCTTATCCCCCATACATGTACAAGAAGCTTACATAAATATGATACCTATATTGTAAAGAGGCAAGATAAAAGAAACAATATTTTTGTAAGGTTCCCATCTTAAAGTAGCAAAATTGCTGAGTAGACTGAAAATTCAGGCATGTATATTGTAATCACTACAGTTAACAATTAGTGGAAACGCACAGAAATACTGCCAAAAGTAATTAATAAATTAACTGGAATGCTAAACATAAATTTTAAATAAAATAAATATTCTAAGCAGCATTACTATATCATTAATGAATCACGATCATGTTATAATTAAGCATTATCCTTGAAAATAGCTATCAATCTGTAGAAAAACATACAAAGTGAATTGTGAAGTAATTCTTTCGATTATTGATATTCCATGTTACAGCTCTGTGTGTCTTAAATGTAGAACTAAGGTATAAAAAAGAGGATGTAAGAATACAACAAACAAAACAGCCAAAATATGAATTTCACATTATTTAGAACAGCACTAAATACATAAAATGAAACTCCACAACGTGGGCGAGTGAAGAAAAGGAAAACATTTCCAAAGGTATTTATTGAGAAATAGTAAAGATGTACATATTTTTACAAGCTTTTAATATTAATTTACATTTCTTTAAATTATGTAAGCCCCAATAATCTATACTTTTCTAACACGACAGAAACCTTTGACTTGATGAGGTTTTCATAATGCTACCATAATTGGGAATCAAAATGCAACTTTGGCTCATTATGCTTGTTTGTTTTTAAAAGAAATACTAATGTAGGCTGGTCATTAACAAATATGCTTTTTAAAAAAAAACAGCTTCATACTGGAGCATGCTGTTGACACTATTTTGAATCTTAGCTCACCACAGACTAAGGAAAAACATATTTAGAGAGTCATTACCTGCTTTATGTGCACAAACTGCCCGCATGATTCTAATTTTGGTGTGGTTTTTTTTTGCCTCTGATTTTGGTTTACAAACTTTCTGACTTACTCTTCTACACTATCAAATAGTAGCCACGCCACCTGTTTTTGAATTATTTCAGATGTTATACCTTTCTTAGTAATGTACCACGTTTGTTTATATAGTAGCAAAGACTCACGTTAGTCACACATTTCCAAGCTAGTTTACAATAAGGCACAATATTCTCTGTATTTCAGAATTATATAGGAATTGTCAAAAGGGCTGTTTTGTTGTTGTTGTTGTTGTTCATTGGTTGGATTTTTGGATTTAAGATCAGAAAGGAGGAGGATCTTCTGTTTCCAAGAGGGGAAGGGAAGAGTTCTGGTTTGAACAGAACTAAAGTTACATGCTCAAAAGCCATATGACAAGTTGTGACACTGGCTTCTGGGCCTGTGCCACTACAGTGCCAGATTTTGATGTCCTTCATAAAATGAGCATTTTGGTTTCATGCTGTGAGTCTCTTCTAAAAAATAATAAGAGAAAATGTGAGAAACAGCACTGACTCGTGCAACCAGTGACATTTTTTCTTTGTCTTATGAAGGGATGTTCCTTTCTCCACCTGCAGGATTAGCAGCACAAGAAGCCTTGCTTTTTTGATATGAAAAAGAATGAGAAATTTAGGTGTAATTCCACAATTCTACCATTTAAAAAACTGTCTATACAGTAAAGATTTTTTATTCACAGTAATAAATACTTAAGGTATTAGTGCACACCATATAATAAGAACTGATAATCAATGCAGCTCTTTAAATTTTCAACTATTATTTTCAATATAAAGGTCAGTTTAAGAATATGATTTATCATCATCAACATCATTATTGTTAAAAGTATTCCAACGTACTTTTCTCACAATAGTACTTGGGGTTGCCAAAACACCAAAAATTAAAAATTAAGGTCAAAGTTCATTGTGAAAAAAGAAAATCACAATCTTATACAACACTGGATCTCAATCTCTTTCTGTTCAACATAAACATGGCCTTAGTATTCAGTTAAGAAAAAGAGGTTTACAGTCTGGAAAATATTTCATTTCCATAGTGAATATTCTATGCCAAGCACCGATGTGATTGAAGCTATTGAAGTCTATTATAATGAATTGTTATAGACCGGCCTCTGGTCAGGAACCCTGCTTAGCTGCTGGACTCCAAGTTACACATTATTGCCACTACCCATGGAACTTCTGGTGCAGATACAATTAAACAGCTCCCAGGTAATGAAGTCTTAAGTTTCCATAAGGAAGCTATGTCATACGAAATGACAGGAGAACCAGTACTGTGTTCCTAAGATGGGTTATATATACCAAGGATAAAAACACATGCAAACACAAAGACGGCAGGTTCTCCTTGAATGCATGTCGCCCTCTGTGCAGCAACAGTACAGGCAGAAACTAAGGGAGGCGAGTCTGTGATGAAGAGAGCCTGGATTTGTATGTTAACCTGAAACCCAGGTACTGTTTCACTGTTGTGATTTCAGTGATGCTGTCCAGATTTGGTTCATTTGATCACTTATTTTTTGATGATATTCCAGGTAAAATTCTAACTGACCCAATTTTTTTCTTTGGAACCAATATATAGCATCTGCTTTTCATTATTAAGGATGTTTTATTTTCACCATGACCTTGGGTTTTATAAATGTCCGTCATCTTTATTTTAAGCCATGTTACCTCACTGTGAATTTTAAGTTGTTTATGGCATGTTCTAAGAGTATTTTGGTAGTGTTTGCTTGTGATTTTCACTCAAAAAATTCTCCTTACACAACTTAAACATATCAAAAAGTCAAACTTAAAACAGTGCAAAATGTCACGAATATGGCTCTTAATTTTCCCCAGTAAAAGTCTAGAAAGAGTACTCGAGACTTCAACATATACTTCACTTTCTAAGTAAAGGTCCCACAGTCTTTCTCAAACATTCTGCTTATGGTTGGATACACAAGTAGTTGCCTCATACAATTATTGGAATTATTCAGAACCCAAATAAAACACAAGATTGCCTTTATTATGACTTTTCTTATCGCAACAAATAATTTCTTGATGGTGCAGTATTGAGTTTTGATAGCTTGAATTTTAAATTTGGTCATGTTAAGAATGATCAAAAAAACGCTTTTTTGTTTCCATTATCTACAGGGATTTTTAACCAAAGTTACATTGTAACACACAAACGCTGTCTTGTCTTTAAGGCACAACACATCAGTATGAACATTCTGCTTGCCAAACTTAAAAAAGAGACAATATTAGATTCCCATTGCCCTTCCCGTATCCCTCCCCATCAAATGAAAGAAAAATTGCATCCATTTTCAGCCAGCTTCTAATAAAAGTCACAGTAAATTATTTTCATCAATAATTTACACCAATTATAGGTCTAGATAGACTTGTCCTTTGATAGTCCGAGTGCATTCCAATTCAGATTCTCTGGGCTAGGTAGGCTAAAGTCAGATTCAAACCTCAGGGCTGAGAAGATCTCCCATGTTGAGGAATGTTGTTGAACATCACCTTGTCAGATGGAGCATGTATTGGTACTTTGCCAGGTTAAAAGTTCTTTGCTAAAGCTGTTAATTCCAGTTAGGACTCAATGGGTGTGTACCAGCAACCTCCACAGATTTTTTTTTAAACCATTAAAGTGTTGTAAATATAAGACCATAGAGCTTCCTTTCTGTAGCACTAAACTTTAATTCCATTCAGCAACTGAATTCTTCATTCAGGAATTTTCATTCCAAATTATGATTTCATCCTTTAAGACAATTTGTATGTGTAAAGCCAGAGGCATTGAATCACACATAGAAATTCAGTGTACTTGAAATATAAAAACGGATCTCCAGCTAGAGAACAGTTACAAATACTCTAATTCCAGTGCTTGATGTAGAGCCAAGAGGTCTGAGTGACTTGATATTCTCCAAAAGGGCATGTTGTGCTGTGTGTTAGAGAAGAAGGGATGAGAGAGAGAAAGAAGGGGGAAGGAATGGAGAGAAATCATAACTATTTTATCAACGAAACATCCAAACACACAAGGGTATACAGTCTACCCAGTTCAAGGGAGGGAACTCTCAGAAGGGATGATTACATTTGAAGGCCAGTAGCATCAATGTGGCATTGCCAAATAATAGAGAAATAGATCTGAACTGGATTATAATCAATATAAGAGCAAAGATTGAGATTCCTTACATTGTTTAATATTTTCTTCTAGAAAGCATCATCACTGAGACTGACATCTGGGAAAGCAAGCTGAGCAAGCTGGGCATCAAACCCTGTGGCTTGACAGAGTATTTTAATTTTAATTCTCATGTGTCCAACTTAAAGTTTTTCTTTTGTTTTGTTTTGTTTTGGGGCCAGACCCAAATTGTGCTCATGATTATTCCTAGTCTTGCACCCAGGAATCACTCCTGGAAGTGCTCACGGGAACAGATGCAGTGACTGGGGTCAAATGCAGGTTGGCTGTGTGCAATGCAAACACCCTATCAAGTGTGCTATCTCTTCTGCTCCAATCTTTAAAAAATATTAAAATAATCTTTTAAGCACAAGGCTTTTTGTATAATCAAATAGATGGTGAATTCAATTATGTGTAAAATATAATTCAAAATCGAATTATATTTTTTAATAAGATAGACAATAAATATGAGCTGATTTTTTTTAATTGTCTGGGTAAACTAGTGATCAAAACCATTAGTGTTAACTTGATTTATTTCACTGACAAAGGATTTAGAGATGGCATCCTAACAACCATTATCGATGGGGAAGAAGCCATATCCAAGATGAGAAAATTTTTGTGGTACAAAATTTCTTAGATATCTAATGGGTGGTGGTCCTACAAAGATACATGAGTACTGTGGATAGTACACTATCCACAGTATAGTATGCATAGTGCACTGCATGATATTTTCATGGTAGACTGTGATATTGAAAAAAGGAATGTCTAAAAGAACTCCACTGTAGATAATAAAGAAAAAAAAGTACACTAGAATAACTAGCCAATCACTTCAAGTTTTGTCTAATACATTCTTGTAGAATATTTTAGAACTATACATATATGTAGATATAAAACATAAAACCCAATTTTACTCTAAAAGTCAATCAAAGTAGTGACCATCACTGTTATACAAGCATTTCTGTCCAGTGTGTTAGTCATGGCCACAGGAAGCTACCAAATACTTTGAAATGTAACTCCTCTGGCTCAAAATTTATAATGAATTTCAGACTTATAATGTAAAATTAAAGTGTAATCATCACAGTAACAATCTTATATATATTAGGCATTAAGAGAGCAATATTGAAATATGTATTGAAATATATATTGAAATTAAATATATTAGTGCAATTATATATATCTTTTTAGGTTTTTTATGTGGATTCTAGAAAATTCAAAATTATAAATATTACCACATGAAAGTTACATGTGATATGTTTTAGATATGAGAGCAATTTAGTTAATAATTTCTAAGTTTTAAACTTTCTTCTGAAATTTAACAAAGTAGGTCCAATTTTTTAGGTCAAATTTAAGCACAGAAATTCACCTGTAAGTTTTAAAAAATATTTCAGCTCAGATCTATTTGTAATAACAAAATAGTACTTTTATCACTGCACATGCAATTATAGCTATATACAAAGAAAAACATGCAATCTGGATATTTAAGAACCAACCACCTGCGTTTCAAAATATAGAATTATAAGCCATCACCATCACCAAAACTGTATCTACACAAACAGTCATTTGGAAATAGCATTTTAAATTCTTTTCCACTTGGAGTCATGCTTTTTTATCCTGAAGTTTTAGGTGTAAAGTAGAAGATATAAAAACTGATATATCATGAATAGAGTAAATTTTATGTTTAAATTTTTGAAGTAATATACATTTTCTGATTTTGAAAAAAATACTTTTATTATTATACCTAGCCTAAATACATGTGACTTTCATAGATGCTCAAAACCATGAAAAGTGTTTTATTGAACTTTCTTCAAATATTGTTATTTCCTGTGTTCTATTATGGTGCCAATATTTAAAATTAAAACAATCTGTGAACCACTAGATATGCACCCGTCCAAAAATAAAAAGGAAAGTCAAAACAAAAATGACTTAAGGCATTGACAATTGACAAAACCTAGAAGATAATTTTAATTATGTACAACTAGAAAGCACTTCAAGTAGTTGTCAGTGATGAAAGATCTATTTCTAGCAACCGGACTTCTGACCATGGTTCTTGGTTTGTGGGCAGCAGTTTTGGATTGATGACATTGTTAAACTAAATCAAGATGCTTGGGTGTAAGTAGACTCCATACTGCTTTTCTTAATATTATGAAAGGCACAGAGAATTTCAAGGTGGCTTCCAACACTTCACCAAGGTGTTTAAAGTGAAAGCACCTTCTCATTCTCCACTTGCTTGATTTTAAATGCTTATTACTTTAAATCATTTATTTCTTTTTTGTATTATAGCCATAAACTTTTAAGGAAACTTGTTGCTGGTATTAAAAATCCAGCGTCCACACTAGTAATGCAAGTACTTAATGAAGACTTTATTAGATGATAATTTGAAAATTTAGACCTAAAGTTTGTACATAATAAAGACACAGTCTCTCTACATAAAATAATACAAGCTTATCTGTCACTGTTTAAAAAATGACGACTCAATATTTTTCTTTGTTTTATAAATGAGATTACTTTCATCTTGGGTAGATTATAATTTGTTTTCATTCAATGAAAGAAGCAAGAGATTTCAATGTTGTGCTGATTTATCATTTGTTTTCTGGGTCTAATAGTGTTATCATTCTTCTTTTGATATTGAATTAACCATCTAAAGATACTTGATTACATTTATTTCTTCTTCATAATACAGGTCTGATAAAATGCTTATTTAAATAACTAGGGCTCTGAGATCTTTTTTCCAGTCAAGTTCTTGGCTTTATTCAAGTACCAATGACTTACCAAAACAAAATATAAAAAAATGTGAGTTATATTGCCTCAAAGTCTCTACAATGCATTGACACAGCAGAATCTGAGTTAGATATCTCAATTCTGCAACATTTATGAGATTTTCTTACAATAGATATTTTTCTCCAAGTTATTCTCTCTTTTTCTGCATTTATCATCAAAAGTCTACTTATTACTAGATACTCAAAAGGATCATATGGCAATAGGATGAATGAAGAAAGAACTAAGAATGGAGGCACTCATAAGTCTTGTCCATAAAGCTCACTAAAGTTCATTAGCATCTTAAATTTCATATGCTTAAAACTGGTTATCCCCCTTTCTTACAAATCACTATGCATGTATGTATTTAAACATAAACTATTTATATAAAGTATAACTCTGTTATCCTGCATTATCAAATCTCAGGCAAAAAATGCTAGACTCCAAATGGTTTGTTTAAATGTAAGTATTGACCTCATGCTCTTAACTGCTTTATATCTATGAATTTAAATAATTTGTCAAGCTGCCAATGGGTCAAACTACAGGAATGCAAACAAGAAAGCTTGCATTACAAGTATCACACCAACATTGTTTGAGACAGGTTACCTTTTTTGCTGCCTGTTCTTCTTCTACACCATCCCCAATTACAACATACACTACTTTTCTGCCAAACCTTTGCATTATTCGTTCAAAGCAACTTTCTTTTCCTGGAAGATAAATGAGATAAAGTTCAGAGTGAAGTTACCTGGTTAGCGGCATGCTCCTCATCTCGGCCATCTCCAATCACAACATAAGTTATGTTAGTGCCAAATCTGGACACTATACGCTCAAAACAGCTTTCCTTGCCTGAAAAACAACGCACTGCTTATTCTTCCATCCATTGCATTCATAAACCTAGAGATTCATAAAGTGTTAGGTTAATTACTCCTGATTAATAATCACTTAAACTAGCTTGCAACTCCTGGGTTTATGAAATCAACGAATGTTTAAATAATGTAAGCCTTGATTTCAGATAGATTAAACAAATGAACTTTGTAATCAAAACAGATCAATAGGGTAAATAAAGCATTTGGCACAGAGAAAAATGTTAATATTTTTTACTCCTCCAGTAGATAATGGGAATACTTTCCTAATGAATTTAAAATTTAACATTCACTTTGACCCTTTATTTCAACTTTAAGTAATACACACCAGTCAGATGAAAATATTACTTTGAAAAATTTAAGCTATATCTTAATTTTTTTAAGCAATGTGGAGATAATAAGATGTGAATTTACCTAGATAAACAACTCTTATTCAAGTGCCTGGGAACTAGTTCGCTCAGGTTAATTGCACTAAAAGACTGTCTGATTGGGTCACTGTATGAGAACAAGAGAATCCTCTGACTGCTTCAGGGAATAGTACTGTGATATTTTGACATATTTGTCTTCTCAAGAATTGTTATTATTTTTTGAATTTCATCCCTATACTATTTACATAATCACTGTTGCATTTGCATTTCTTTCTTAATATGACAATTTTGAAGTTCCCCCCAAACTTGTACTAATTTACAGGGAAAAATAAAAATTATTTTTAACAATTAATATGAAGAAATATCTGGCCAATGTAAAATTATCTTGAGAAGATATTTATGCTGGTGCAAAATGGCTTGGTTTGTCAAAAAACAAAATCAAGTAATCTATATGAATCCTGTGGTATAAATATTTGTATCTATATTAAATTTTAGTGGAACTGTTATCAGGCTCTGAATTATAGCATTATGAAAAGCTACAATTAGTATTATGAAAACTTGATTCTCTTTAATCATACTTCTGAAACAGCTGCAACTGGGGCTCCATTTGCTTGTGTCAATCTCAAACACTGTCAAGCCCACAGCAGGTTATTTTTGGTCAGAAATTTTAGGATTTTTGAATTTCTCTTGTCAAGTTGCCAGAATATGTTTATTAACCTTTAGGGAACATTATATAACCCATTAATTTCCCGAGGCATTTTTCTTAAAAATGGGATACATGAGCTGTTTTTTTTAAACTATCTTAAGATGAAGAAATTTCTTAATTGTATATTAGAAATCAAGGGCAATAAATACACTTAAAGTCAAAGATTGGTCCATATTTACATATATCCAAATAAAAAAATTAAAATAGCTCTTTGTTGTTGAACAGTTTTGAAGATGTGGATTTTCAACCAATAAATTTTATGAATGTTCCAACTATGCTTAAGATTTATAACCTTTTTTATTTCTGAAATAAAAGACATTAGTTCAATCTAGACAATAAAAACAATTTTATCTTAGGTTTAGGTTATTTTTCTATTGAAATTATATTACATTAAATTATAACTATACAAGTATTACATATGTATCACTAAAATACTATGTATACTGTCTTATCATATCACTAAAATACTATGTATACTGTCTTATCGTATCATTTTATCATACAATTGATTATTGAATATGCAAGGATTAAATATTATATACATCATAGTAATCAAAATATTAAAAACCAGGGCTGCAAATAATGCATATGATAAGATATACCCCAAGGATTTTAATAAATATACCACAATGTACTGTGTATAAACATATTTACATGAAATGAGTTAGAACTATTCAGATACTGAGATCAGAATTCACTAGCTAACAATTTCTCTCTCTTCCTATTTTATTTTTTGGGGAAGGGGAGGCACACCCTGCAGTGCTCAGAACTTACTCCTGGCTCTGGGATCAGAGATCACTACAGATAGGGCTCAGGGGGACCATAGGGTGAGCCAGGGATTGAACCTAGTTCAACTGTGTATAAGGAAAACACTCAACATTGAACTATCTCTCCAATCCTTAGGTAATTTTTTTGGTAATTTTCATAAAATGTGCACATGTACAATGAATTGCAAGAAACTCAGAACAAAATTCTTTGGTATTCTCAGAGAAAAATTTGTGAAAAAAAGGAATCATGCAGAAACACACACTATGAAAATTCACCAAAATACAGATGTGAACACATTTCACAAAGAGTAGAAATAATTTTCTTACCTATTTTAGTTGCACTGTAAATATTCTCAATGGGGAAAGCACCTCCTAAACTATAGAGTAGAACCTTCGCAAGTGCTGGGATCAGTTGGGTTGTTGTTACCAACACATTTACGCAGTTACTCCTAAGGTAAGGGAGGAAATATGCACATTTTTTCTAATACTAAAATTATCATAATATAAATATGCTTTCTAAACTCCATAATAAAACAGACCCTAGTAATATAACATATTAATATTCAACAACCATTAATGGAATGCCTACCATCTGGCAGGCACCATGAAAAGGTCAAGAATTATATTCCATATAAAGGCAGAAAAAGAAAACAGGCAAAAATAAAGTCATGTCGAATGGTGTCTTTGTGTCCACACCTCCAGGACCATAACATACACACACACAAGAAGGCTCTCTACCTACTCTTGAATAACTGGATGTTACACACACACACACACACACACACACACACACACACACACACAAACACACATACACACACATACACACATATTTGAAATAGGCAATATTTTCTCTAATAAAGATTTTCTCAAGTCCCTATAGAATATCAGAGAAAAATACCCACCTCAACATCAACAGTCATGGGAAGGCTATCAGAGAGGGGATGGCACAGCTCTAAACTTCAAAACTATTCATGTCAGGTACTTTATTTTAAATGTTGATAGATAGCTCTGTATGCCAAGTCTGGGAAAGCAGGGAATGTAGGCAGAAAGAAGGTGATAAAATGGTCATATAAAAAGGGGCTGGCTGACGGTAATATGCGAGATAAAGATGGAGGAGACGAGGATGGAGGGGTCAAATCCTTAAACCTTCTCAATCACAACAGAGGACATGGTGTATTTAATAGAACCCCCCCATTTTAATCCATCTACAAAGGCAATATCTTTTGAATTTGAGGATCTCTTATTTTATAAAATTTATAGTTATTTCTTTAGTGATAGTAAAGGAGTGAAATAAAAAGTCAGGAAAGGTGAATTGAGAAGATCTGGAAAAATAGAAAGTGAGTAATTTGCCTTGACAAGTTTTTACTATGCACATGAAATTAGGAATCAAAAAGCACATGATTAGGGATGTTTCTCTCTTATAGAATTTATATCACAATCCCTTAAATTTTTGAAGACCATCCAACAGTCTTTATAAATCACTAGTATGACTTTTTTTAGCAACCTTTTGCCCTCCTGAAAATTCTGTAATTGCCCTCCTGTAATTTTGAAGATCAGTTTAATGTTAACTTTTCATGACTGTACATATGCTTAGCCTACAATACATGTAATAGTATTTTTTTCTTTACATATATATGAATATATAAGTATATATTTCTTTACATATCAGTGTAGATAAAAATTTAAAATTTATTTTAAAATAAAAATCTTTTTGTGTATAGCCTTTTAGATCATTTTTATTTCTAACTTCCCCACAGATACCTGACTTTACAATAGGGACTTGATTATATGGTATAAAAATACCTTGACATTTAAAGGTAGATGTTTAGTAACTATTATCAATGTAACCCTTAATTTTACTGATGACAAAATAAAGACTGAGAAAGTACTTCCTTATCTATTAGCTTACATGACTTACCCAAACAATGCCAGATTACTGAAAGTAATACATGAAACAACAAACTCTAACACTTAAACAAAATTTTGTTTATTCAATACTATACACAGGTAAGTGTCATGGTGAAATAAAATTGAATACATTTTTAAAATTTAAAGATGTGGTTTTAAAATCTGCTTTCGCCTTCACCATATGAAATTCAGAGTTACATCATTTAGTTTTTAATAGTGGTCTCATTCAGCTGTGCTCTGGGGGTCCAGAACCACTCTAAGAAATGGAGGACTGTAATTTCACATAAATAATTTTATATTATAAGTGCTGCATAAGTTTTTAATATAAATTTATAATATACAGTCAAAGGTAAGGAAGAAAAGTAACACTTATTTAATCATTTGGAGTTGGTTAACTGATTTTGTACATTTATTCTTCTTGTGTCTGTATATAATTTTGTCATTTGGATCATAGCAACTATGTAACTATATGATTTTGTATTCTGCTTTTTTGTTTGCAAACATTATAGTATACTCATTTATGGCGTACTGTCTATTATTTCCTATTTTCTTTCTCCTAACAAAACAAAATGCAGGAAATATACTCTATCATAGGGTTGCACCATAACTTTTTATGTTATTCACTTAGATGGTTATGATTTCTCTCTCTCTCTTTTTTTTTGGACCACCCCCAGTTGTTCTCAGTTCTGACTCTGGCTCTACTCTCAGGGATCACTCCTGGAGGGACTCAAGTGACTGTATGAATTGTTGGAAATCAAACCCAAGTTGACTGCATTGAAGGCAAGCACCTTACCCATGATGCTCTCTGTCCAGAACCAGTTTTTGATTCCTTAATAATATTCTATATATTTTTTGAGCCACACATGGAAGTGCTCAGGGCTTACTCCTGGCTCTGAAATCAGATATCGCTACTGGAGGTGCTCAGGGGACCATATGAGATGCTGAGAATTGAATCCATTTCAGTCATGTACAAGGCACTATAGTATTGATCTAGCCCATATATAATTTTTCATTATGTCAATTTTTTCTTCACCTCTTATTATGTTATGAAACAATCTTCCTAGATATTAATTAATATCTGAGGAGGAGGGAGATGGATGTTGACTTCCTTCTCAGATAGATACAATTCCTATCATACTCACACCCAGTTTCAGGGGTCCAGGAATCCTCACATTTCAGTTTCCCTGACTTGGTCTTTAGACCCCAATGTCTTCAACTGTGGGTCAAACCCTACCTATGTGTGGCGAGGAAGGGTTATAAACTGAATGTAAGGGTCATGGAAACTTGTTTCACAATAAATCTCTTTATGATTATTGTCAGTCATTTTTTTTATTGTATACCTATTTTCTATACCCATATACCTGGGGTCATGAGTGGATAAAGCCTAAGAAGTCCTGCTTTAAGTCACCGGTTATAAGTCAGCATGCCAATTCTCAGATAGCTGTGTTAGAAAAGTCTCCCCTATGTTGATTTCAAATTTTCCCTTTCAGAAGTTCTCATCAGTTCTAATTTTCTCCTTTACAGATAAAGAGAGAAAAATGTACTTTACTTTCAACTTAACAACTCAAATAATTGAAATAGAAAATCTTGTTCACATGAATTGTCTTCATAATAAACTTTCTGACTCTTCTCTCTAATGGTTGCTTTTATGGGGTTTTCTGCCTAAAACCTTACTAATGTATGCAGACAGGAAAATTCAATAGTCAAAGCCCTGCTGGAATATAGCACCCAGAACTGAGCAAAATCCTCTGTTGGAGTTTTCATTTCCAGATGCAGAAAAGTACTAACCCCTTTTCTATCTATTTATACTTTCTGTTAGCAGTGTGTTGCTCCTTTTGTCTCCAGGCCTGGAGTCTGTGCAAGATTAGACAAATATCCACTTATTTCCCTGTCCTGAGTAGTGGTATCGACATTGTTACTATTAACATATCAATATTTATCTGCTATCTCTCAGAGAAAGAGACAGAGACCAAATATCTTTCTCTGAATTTTGAGTTTCTCACAAATTTTCTTACCAAATTTGTTCATCTGAGAAATGAAACTCAGATAATTTGAAGATTCAACTATATGGCAGCAGCTATCATTTTTTTAATGATTTATAGTATTTTAATTTTATAAAATTAGTATAAGTTACTAGATAAGTTATTATAAACAGTAATATATTTATGGAACACAATATTTAATTATTTATGTCTATACAATTCTATTATTTACATCAGCAAGTCATTTCACTAATTAGTCACACAATATAAAAGCTATAAGTATTTCAGAAGCTTTCTCTGTAAATTTTTTGTACATTTAAAGTATGTAAAGAATTTACAATTGGCTCTGAAGACTTAAAAACGTTCACTTGTTATAGATATACTATGGCTTCCTTAATCTTTGCTATCATCTCTTGTATTTTACCCCACATAGAGTACTTTCTTTATTCATTAGAAGTAATATCACCTTACGTTAGGAATTACTAGTACTTATGAAGAGAGAATATAGATAAGAGTACCCAGGTACTCTGACAAGTAGCAACTCCTGTCCCCATCCCAACATGAGCACATACATACCACACACACACACACACACATACACACACACACTAAAAAATCACTTGACACAATTGACACAATAAATTGTTACGTCTAAAACCACAAAACTTTTTTCCATATGCTGTATAATTATACCTATATCTTCAATACCATATAAATAGAAGCTGCAACAATACTACTTACCTAGTACTAATAATTGATAAAGATTTAAGTGCATTTGTTAACCAGGAATCTGTTAGACCTTCAATCTCTGCCCGTAACTGCAGCCACGCATCTCTCTTGGCAGGGCCAAGGAGACCTGCAATCCCAAAAGCAAGGGATAGTAAAGAAATGGACATTTCTCAGGAATACTTAGTTTTTTCTGCCTTCTGTCTAGACCTGATGGTTTTTATTCCAACCTTTACCGGAAATGGAGATCTATTTATATAAAAAATAATCCTTCATTTTAGAATTTATTATTATTTATTCATTCAGTGAACGTTTATTGAATAACTTTTAGATTTCAGTTAGTAGACTAAACTGGGGAAAGAATAGTGAAAAAGTGAACTTAGTTTCTGGCCTCACTGAACCAGATCTGGTACCATGAATGCCTATCATTTGAGAAGCACTGATATTGCCATCCTTATATCCATCTTCAAAAGATTGTGATGGAATACATTTACAGGAATCCTTCAGCTTTGGCTTAGGAAATAATAAATAATAATAACAAAATAATCTGGCTGCTTAAAAATGTAGTGTTGGTCATATTCAAAATCATTACCACTTCTAAACATTAATGGAATTATCACCTAGAGCTATTAGAATGTTTCCAGAAGTGGTAATAAAGTTATCACAAATATTGTATTTTGAAAAAAGAAGCTAAGAATCATGGTTACAGTCCTAAAGCAAACGAATTCAAAACTCAAGTGGTCTCTTGAGGATCCTGGGCAAGTCAGTAGCCTGAAAGAGCCTATATATATATCATTTGAAAACTGAAGTTTCATATCTATGCTTACTTTTGGTTCTATATGATGACTACTCTTATTACTATTAGTACTATTACATGGTTGGAGCAACAGCACAGCAGGTAGGGCATTAACCTTGCATGCGGCCGACCTGGGTTCGATTCCTCTGTCCATCTCAAAGAGCCCGGCAAGCTACCAAGAGTATCTACCCGCACGGCAGAGCCTGGCAAGTTCCCCATGGCGTATTCGATATGCCAAAAACAGTAACAACAAGTCTCACAATGGAGATGTTACTGGTGCCTGCTCAGGCAAATCGATGAAGAACAGGACAGTGCTTACAGTGCTACTACATATGGATCATGGTAGTCTTATTATGAGGACTGAACTAAAGGCTTACACTCTACCAAGAAACATCTCTAGTCTTCCAACACTGTCTGTGGCACAGCAATAGTTGTTCTCCTACCATTGTTGGGTTCTTAGTGAGCACATATTATATTTCCAGCATAATTGGGCAATGGAGATACAAAAATAACAGACACACAGTACCTCCTTCAGTATATATGTCAGTATGTACAATATATACACTTATGCATATATTTACAGAGAATTATTAATTGCAATATGTTCGATGGTACATACACATATGACATATGTAACAAGTAAACATATATTTAGTTATATTATTCCATTTCATTTGGGAGAGAGGGGTACATCTGGCAGTGCTCAGGGCTCACTCCTGTCTCTATGCTTAAAAGATAACTTCTGACAGTACTCATATGAGCATACTGGGTACCGGGAATCGAACCCAAATTGGCCAATGTGCATGGCAAGTACACTACCCACTGTACTATTGCTTTAGCTCGATCATTTCATTTTAGACTTTAGTTTATGCTATTCATTGTTCTTCTCATATTCTTAGGGAAACAAAACCCCCAGGAGATAAATCTCATGTGACTTATAAGTAATCATAGGCGTTTGTTGATCTCATATTAATCCTAATAAGAGAGTCCACCAAAGAATCTCCAGTATTTTAGTTTTGATATCATGGATTTGGGTAACACCTATAATAAATGGATAAGTAAAACCTGGTTTAGATATTTTCTACAAAGTATTTGAATTCTTAAACAACATGTTAATCAAAGTCAATAGAATATCTGGGAAAGATACACTGTTAGAAAAGATGCAATTTTTTTAGACGGAAATAGACTAGCCAAAGGACTCTGAAATGACACAAAATGTTGTTTATATTTATTTCTTGTGGAGTTCTAAATGGTAAAGATTGCTAATAACTCTGCCTTAAGGACTTGTCATAGTAAATGTTTTCTTCCCATTCCCTCAGTTAGATTCTGGGTCTAGTTTCCACATTAGTGTTCCAAATAAAAAAAAAAAAGCAGAAACTGTTTGTTAAAGTAACGCTCTCCTGGAAGTTTTGACAAAACATCTGGGCACAGAGAATTCCTAGATCCTGTGACAAGAGCAGAACATTTTATTCTGCATTTAGGCACCCCTACCTTCCCCTATCAACTTGAAGAACTAAAAGTTTGGTCTCAGTGTCATTCAACATGAGGTATTTGGTAATCTATTTTACAGCGGGGCAGTTGTTGACACGAAACATGGAACTACACTTCAAATTATACCTCTGTCTACAGTACTTTGGTTAGAGTGAAAAAGCCTCAGGTACCTCCGACATTGTTCTTGTAGGTGTTGTATAATTCTTTTACTCTTCTGTAACGAAAAGCCAACTTCCTCATCCAGTCAACTCCTCCTCTCACACCTGTTGGCAAACAAAGGTTTGCACTACTTGCAGCTGCATGGAAGCCATCAGTTGCAAAACTGTAGGTACTGCAACACCCAAAATACATTAAAAAAGAAATAAAAGAAGTAATTACATGTGCAAAACTCCAAGGCAGAATTTCTGTAGGAAACATCAGCTGAATGGCATGGCTTACCTTAAGTCCTGCCCATTATCATCAGAAGAAACATCATCTATGTGAACTTGATCACACTCCTGTCAAAAACATTAAAAATGTGATTTGCTTTTCAAATGATGCCTGCCATATCTGAAGGCTTTTCCACCTTTCCATTTGAGCAGACTGGCCAGTAGAGGGCAGCATCTACCCAACCATCCCATAATCCCGCAGTGGGAAATGCTACCATTTCTACTCTTAAAATCAAAATACATAAAAAGGGGTCTAAAAAATTTGGTTTACAGGTTTCCTTAGAGCATTAAAATGAAAGCTAATATTAAAATTACTGACTAGGACTTTTCTTTTGAATATTTATAGCAAATTGTATTCACTCAAAAATTTCTGTTGCAATTTCTATTTCTAAACCTTCTTTCTGTTCCATTCTCTTTAGGAATGGAAGTAAAACTAAACTGAAGGTACATAGAACTTGCTTGGTCTCAACACCTCAGATGGTTACTATTATTTATTATTTGTTCAGCAGCAATAGAAGAGCTCCATAATTATAATGTCCTGCAAAATTTCTCTGACATCCTGTCTTTTGCTGGGTAAGAAATACCATGTTGCTGTTTAAATAACCACATTGCTGTTTAAAAGTCATGTCATTTTAACACAGAAAAAAAAAGGTAATGACTGTCAATGATGTTTTCTTTTGTTAAACTAAAGAGTACCCACTTTAAACCTGAAAGGGTGCCAGTAAGATTTAGCATCTTAAATATGCTACAAAACTTAGAGAAAAATAAACTTTAAGTATGCATACTCACACAATTGTCCTGTCTTAAATTAAAGTGTCTCAGAAAAAGTGATAACTACCTCTGATAAGAATTCAGTTGTTTGTTGTTCTAAGACTCTATTTCTACTTCAGATAATCTACAATGTTTCAGTGAAATAGTACGTGATTTGATGAATGAATTTGCTAGTAGATTTCAAATACCTGATCCTTACTACATTCGGGATTGTTATGGTCTATGGAATGGGTCTCTGTTCTTCTCAACCCTTCTTAAGTAATTTTCATAATATTTATAGACTTTGGTTATCTAATTAGTGTATCTTTTAAATTCAGTGGAAAATTACTCATTTTATAGATAAAATGCAATACTAAGCAAAAGTTTTTCAGCTATTTCTATACATTATAAAAATCAGAAACATGTAGTGGTGAAATATTTAATCTCATATCTAGTTATTCACAGAACATATTAGATCCCACGAAAGTTTGAGAATGAATTGTTAGCTCAGGATTCTTTCAAAATACAAAACTTAGCGACTAGCCCAAACAATATAATTTTGGCACATAAACTGAAAATCCAGTAAATTAATTTTGAATGTTCATATGATTTTAAATAAATTATGGCATCGCTGATTTTTAAATAAATGTATCTACACTTATAGGTAAGGCAGAATCTGGAAAATATAATCAATTAGAAATTCCCTATGTAGACGCAGGGAGAGGGGGGTTCAGTACCAAAATATACTTCCACAAATGACCCCAAAATAGCATAAGCATGAAACCATTTCTTTTGAATAAATGGCTTTACTCTACACAAATGATAGTTCCTGACAGAATCCTACATTCATTCAAACTTATTAGCACAAAGTTATGATGATGAAAAATGATAATATTCTGTATGGTAGGGATTGTAAGAAGCTTTTTATAACATAAGTGGAAGAGAGAATGAAAGAATAATAGATGAGTTTAAACATACATATCAAAGAAGGTAGACATTAGAACATTTTGTGATTATTTACATTGATTTTTGGCTGAAAAGATTGTGGTCCAAGCTTTAACCAGAAGTTTCATTATGTTTCCAGAAAAATCTCAGGGAAAAGTATTGCAAGCAATAGTATTTGTGTTTGATGAAGCTCTAAAAGACAGAGTGGTAAGATTTTTTTTTTAAGTGGTTAGCATCAAACACTGTCCTCCCGTTGTTCATTGATTTGCTCGAGCGGGCCCAGTAACATCTCCATTTTTTTGAGACTTGCTGTTACTGTGTTTGTCATATTGAATATGTCACGGGTAGCTTGCCAGGCTTTGCCATGCAGGCGAGATACTCTCGGTAACTTGCTGGGCTCTCCAAGAGGGGTGGAGGAATCGAACCCAGCTCGGCCGGGCTGACTGCGCGCAAGGCAAATGCCCTACTGCTAGCTGAAAATAGTTTCTTATTTTTTGGTGGTGGAAGGGAGGAGACATGCCCAGCAGGACTTATTCCTGGCTCTGTGCTCGGGGGTCACTCTTGGTGGACTCAGGGTAGGATACATGGGATGCTGGTGATCAAACCCTGTCAGGTGGCCAGCAAAGCAAGCACCCTACCCACTGTACTATCACTGGAAATAAACTTCTTATCATAGAAAAAAGGAGAAGCAAAGTAGTTGTAGATGACAAGGACTATTTCTTATTTAGAGAGGCTGAAGATTTTTGTAGGAATGTAGAATGAATGATAACATTAGTCAAATAGGGTCATGTGAAGGGTTCATCAAAACACTGAAACTGAAATACTTCTCATTTAAATAATTTACATATTTTTCTTTTAGACCAAACTAATGGCATTAAAAGTTGGGAGAAGTCTTTGTAAATTATATTCTTCATTAAAAGTTATTTCTATATTAAATACCCACTCATCTTAAGTTTTAGATAAGTTCTTCTGACATTTCAAATATTAACTCACATTATTATTTGCACATTTTACCCCCAAATTTATTTTTTACTCCCAATGATATCAGTATATCAAACTTATTGGGCCATGAGTTCCATATTTTAAGTTATGTTTGAGGTTTTTCCAAATGGAACTTCTCCTTAAATTTATGCCTAGTTAACTATGCTTGTTGATGCTGGCCTCTTGCCCAAGGATTACAGTACAGTGAAAGAAAGTTGAACTTCAATCACTTACACTTTTAGAAAAATCTAAATAATTGTTCTTCAACTAGTTTTCATCCTGAGCAACGTTGTAGGAATCATTTTAACCAGAGCCTCACATAATAAAAAGAACATAGTACTTTGGCTTTTTAATAAGTTTTAATGTAAAATGCAAACACTGAAGATGATTCTAGTACTAATCTTGAATTCCTTAATTTTGCCTTACAAAGTAGTCACAAATGTTGCTATTTTTATCATTAGAAACTACAGTGGTCTTCTCTCACTATTGTGAGTCTGAACTCCCTGGTGCCTTCTTTTCTGGAAGTTATTCTAACTGAAATAATATTTTATTAAAACAGAAATCACTCTCTTCTTTGGGGACTAGTGTGAGCATTTGCCTTCTTTGCAGTTGGACAGGATGTAGTGAAGGGAGGGGTTAAGTCTGTTATCTTTTAAAGAATTATGTGAGAACAGCTGCTATTACATGCATTGGTATATCTATTAAAGAATTTGTGTCTCAAATTAGATTTGGGGCAGATAAAAAAAGTCTTGAGAGATTAAATATGTTAAGACAAAGTACATAGTAGACTAAAGATCTAGTGACTCTCTTTAGGAATTTTCCTCTTTGACAGCAGGGGCAGAAATAGCTTAGTAACTATTATAAAGTCTATTACACTTTTTGCTTGATTTTATGGAAATGAAAGATTAGGTGGTAGTAAAACTGACTTTTAAAATCAGATGCAAATGATAACAGACACTTAAGAGATTGAAATGATCATACAAACTTTAGATTTTATTAGCTTTTATTTTTATCTTGTTCATTATTAATTTTATTAGCTTGTTTATCTTACTAGTCAGTAATTAGCCTCTGAGTACCTTGAGCACTTCACCAGGCTCTGAATGTGTGCATGTGACATGGATATAAAAGAGTCATGCATGTAAGTTCAATCGATTTCTATGCTGATATTTCATCATTTCACAAATAACAGAACTACTGGATAGGTAAGTTTTAGTGCCTGAATCAAAAGGAATCTTTATACAATTCTAAAAAAAGAACTGAAAATTATAACATAGAAGAGAAAGTCAAGGCCAACATTTTCTGTTATAATTTCTAACAGAGATTACCCCAGTTATTTTAAGAATACATTTTACATGTTTTCTAATCCAACATAAGAATTCTCCAAGTACTAAAGCTGACCACATGTTTCTTAAGTACCAATATTCATTCAAACGTCCTTAAAATATTTGAGGAGTCACCATATGCTACAACAGTGCCCTCACTTTAGTGTTCTACTAAAAGTTGGGTGATAAATGTATTTCATTGGGGGTGTAATGTGTGACTAAAATAGCAAAAGGATGTTTATTTCAACTAAAGAATGCTCAATTAAATGAATCCTAACAGTAAAACTGAATATAACTTCTTCCATTTCATATGTTCACATGTTCAAAGAAAATAATAATAAAATCCCCCTTTGAGTTGGAATGCATTAGTTTTAATCAGCACAAAACCAACCTAAAGAGTTATCATTGTATATAAACAAATTTAAGCTTGAAAGGATAAAATGTAGTTCATATTATCATAAATATGAGAACTTTATTTTGAAAAACCAAAAACCTTCTTTTATTAACAATATTTATATGTTTATTAAAGAGAATAAACTTTTTTAAACAGCCAGTAATTTTATTTTCGAGGTAAAGTAGCAACTATTTGTAGAGAAAATGAAAACAAAATGCTATTTAACAGGCTTGACTATATATATTTATGTGATATAATCAATACTTTCTTATTCTGATTCTGAAACATTAAGTAAAATTAAAATAATTTTTTCAAGTGAAAAACTTACTATTACTTTAGACTTATCACAAGGTTAACTGATTGCCTTGCTTTTTATTTTTGCATTTATGCTAATTTCAACATGTCATGGGAGAAGAAATCTGTAGTCTAGATACAAAAAATTTTAGAATTTCAGATCCAAGTTTTACCTTTTAGAGGGAAAGTAACCTTAGGCATGACTTTTATGCATTTGGATACCGGATTTACTCCTAGGCTATGTGCTAAACCCACTTAATCCCAAAAGACTGTAAATTAATTGATGGAATGATCGATATTAAACATTTAACACAAGGTGACAATTCAACAATGATAATTTTTCTCTTCATTCTCAATATCATTACGAATACTCTTGTATTAAGAAACCATGAGATAAAAAGAAGTTTAAATGTGTCATCTACGCTACAAATAAGTCTTTATTTCTACTTAGTTACTACATTCATTGTCTTAGTTATTGTTTTAAGTTTCACCTTAATGCTTATAACTCAAATAATTATTACCCAAAATATGTACCTTACTACAGTAGCTAGTTATTCTAAGCTTATGTGAATAGCTCTAGAACTATGCTATTCAGAAAAATATAGGAAATAGGGAATGATAATGTTATCTGTAATTAGGTTTAGGCTGTTTACAAAATTTAGAGACCCATACTAAATGAATTGTATCTGTGACCATAGTCCAAGTATTAATAACAAAAAAAATTCATGGTTAGAAACCTGAAAAATCTACTTCTCATTTCAAAGGTGTTAAATGCATTGTGGGACACTAACGGGACCAAGGGTAGTATCTAGGAGTGGATGAGATCATGAAAGCACATAGAGAACTGTCTTTTTTTCTGAGACACCTTTGTCATATGACAATCCAAAAGAAATTTAGCATTGGTTTATATTTTTTAAATAAAATTTCCCCTTGACAGAAAATTTTGTGTTCTCTTAATCTAAATTTCTTTCTTTTTTCCTGAGATTACCGTCAAACTGCTTTAGTGTTGAATAAAACATCCTTAACTTTTAAAATTCTTACCTCTAAATCATTAAAAAACAAATGTGTATCAGCAAGATTAAAAATCATTTCCTCCATTCGGAGTCCAAGAGTCACAGCCATAGGGGGGTCCTGAAAAAGATGCACACAAAATGATATGATTTTTAGCAACTATTGTCATTAATAAAAGCAGTTAAGTTCAAACTGTTGTGAGATAGAATGGAGAAACTATATGAATTTCTAATTAATATTTTAAAAAAATCCCTAAAAGTAAGTAAAGTAAAGGCCCTCCCGTTGATCATCGATTTGCTCGAGCGGGTCCAGTAACGTCTCCATCATGAGACTTGTTGTTACTGTGTTTGGCATATCGAATACGTCACGGGTAGCTTGCCAGGCCCTGCCGTGCAGGTGAAATACTCTCGGTAGCTTGCCGGGCTCTCCGAGAGGGGCGGAGGAATCGAACTCAGGTCGGCCATGTTGGCTGCATGCAAGGCAAATGCCCTACCGCTGTGCTAGAAAAGGCTTATTCTAAGAAGTTATTTAGGACACACTATGCAGATAAATCTTGACTTTATAGATATTTATTTGCTCATAAAGAGGACTTGGGATACATTTTCATGAAAATTCATATGTTCATGAAAGGAGGAAGAAAAAAATTTAGTTCATATAATCCAATTTTCATATAAACTATGGAAAGTCTTTTTGTGGAAAATAATTTGGATGGGCTGCTGGTAAATGGAACAGAACCTTTTAGCAAAAAAAATAGAATGTTATTTCAATAATCACAACAAATAATCTGAAATCAAGGATGGAGAAGAGTACTTCTGTCTGTATGCTTGCAAGGGTTAACTGCTAATGATGTCTTAAGGTGTGATAGGGGAAACAATGCTGTAGCATTAAGTGACAAAAATAATTCACTGCATGTAAACCAGGTAAAAAAAATATATGTTTAGACCTTTAATAAAAGGGTACTTTGAATGAAATGACTCAATTTCTCTTTACAGGGAGTAAAAATAAGCAGTAGCAGAGAGTTTAGAATTGACATCAGAACTGGTACTTTATCATGACTACCTGCAGTTGAAAGCCTAGTATCAGAAGATGTAGCACTGTATCACTGTCCTCCCGTTGTTCATGGATTTGCTCGGGCACGCACCAGTAACATCTCCATTGTGACACTTGTTACAATTTTTGGCATATCGAATACGTCACCGGTAGCTTGCCAGGCTTTGCTCTGTGGGCAGAATACTATCGGTAGCTTACGGGGCTCTCCGAGAGGGGCGGAGGAATCGAACCCGGGTCAGCCATGTGCAAGGCAAATGCCCTATCCGCTATGCTATCTCTCCGGCCATTAGAAGATGAAAAATGGACTGGAGGGACAGTATAGGGATTAAGGAGTTTGGCTTGCATGGGGCAGACCCCAGTCTGATAATCCCTAGCACAACATCTGATTCTTCCAAGCACTGACAGGAAAGATCCCAGAGCACAGGGCCAGGATTAACAAAAACAAAAGAAAACAAACAAACAAACAAACAAAAAACCCACAAAAAGCTAAGAAGAATTTGTGATAGTGATTAATTAATACATGAATGCTGTGTTTAATATTATCAAAGGTGGGAGGATTTCTAAAGTTGAAGTGCTATAGGTATGACTCTGAAGGTGGAGAAAATAGAAAACCTGAGGGTCAAATCCTCAGAATATGAGGTCAAATGGATGAGTGTAGGAGAATAAGGTTTCAAATAAAGCTGACAAGCCTAGAAGGATACTATTGATTTTGGCTGAGAAGCTATTTTGGAAGAACATAGAGGGTGATTTGGGTTGAGAAGCTGGGCCAGGAGCCAGACTGCAGAGATTTGAGGAGAGAAAAGTGAAATTATGATTTTAATGTTCTCATAAATGATATTTTAAGAAATGTATTTAAACCTGGGAAATAAAACACTAACTTTACTTCAGCTTATGATAATATACAACCTAGGTCAGACCAAGAAGTATTCAAATATACCCCAAACTTATCCCATTTTCCTGTTAGAAGTGCTTTAGCATTCCACACCTATACCGTAACAACCAATTTTCTTCCTTTATTTCCTTCATAACTCTTTGAGGGGAAAATTGTGGGATGTAAAAGTTATTTGAATGAGCTGTTACTAATCATAGTTTATAGAGATTAAAACCTAGGGAATAGGAATTGAGTGTTTAAGAACAGAGATCATTGAGGTGTGTTGAGCAAGGCTAAGTCTTATGCGGAGATGAGAAAAACTGGACAACAATGATATGTTAGATGTCAACTTTTCCCCCTAATTGTTTACATCTTGTTCTTTGATACTTTTGTGGATTTCACAGATAGAGAATTTCCTTTCCGAATAGATGTTCATTGTTCACATACTTCATGACACCTGGTATTGTGTCACAATTCTGCCTCTACTGTTAGACTTATCTGTCCTCAGAAACAGGCCCATAATCATCACTAATCATCAGGGAGATGCAGATCAAAACAACTATGAGATGCCACCTCACACCAGAGACTGGCACACATCCAAAAGAACAAAAGTGATCGCTGTTGGCATGGATGTGGGGAGAAAAGGACCCTCTTACATTGCTGGTGGGAATGCCACAGACTGGTTCTGCCCTTTTGGAAAACAGTATGGTCGCTTCTCAAAAACTTAGAAATTGAGCTCCTATTTGACCCAGCAATACCACTTCTGGTAATATATCCCAGAGAGGCAAAAACATAGTTAAAATGACATCTGCACTTGTATGTTCAAAAACCTGAATGCCCAAGAACAGATGACTGGTTAAAGGAACTCTGGTATATCTACACATTGGAGCAGTATGCAGCTGTTAGAAAAGATGAAGTCATGAACTTTGCATATAAGTGGATCAACATGGAAGTATCACGTAAATGAAATAAGTCAGAAAGAGAGAGACAGACATAGAAGGATTGCTTGCACTTATCTGTGGAATATAAAGTAACAGAATGGGAGACTAGCAAGAATAGCAGAGATAAGTACCAGGAGGTTTGCTCCACGACTTGGAAGCCAGCCGACCTCACATGCTGAGGGGGAGGGCAGCTCAGATAGAGAAGGGAAAACCAAGTAAAGTGTGGTTGGAGGACCCTCTCGAGATGGGAGATGTGCACTGAAAGTAGATTTTAGATCGAACACAATGGTCACTCAATACCTCTATTGCAAACCACACACCCAAAAGGAGAGAGAACAAAAGGGAATGCCCTACCACAGAGGCAGGGTGGGTGGGTGGGGCGATGGGGTGGGGGTGTGGGAGGGATGCTGGGATCTTCGATGGTGGAGGGTGGGCACTGGTGGAGGGATGGGTACCCGAGCATTGTATGACTGAAATACAAGCATGAAAATATGTAAATCTGTAACTGTATCTCACAGTGATTCACTAATAAAAAAATTAAAAATAAATAAATAAATAACATAAAAATCAGAAACAGGCCCAGGAACTGGAATTATAGCTCAGCACTTGCTTAAGATGTGTGATACCCCAGGTTCAACCCCCAGCATCAAAACAGAGAGGATCCCATGGGCAGTATCACTTAAAGGAGCACACCCAAGACAAAAAAAAATTCATTTATCCAACTGATAAAAATAAAGAATAAACAAAGAACAAAAACAAAAATACTGACTGCCTATTCTGTGTGCCAATGTGTTTAGAATGCAGAGATATGTCTTGCTCTGTTTCCTTCAAGTGTAATATTTTTTCCCCTTGGTGCCCCAGGGTAGCTCAGTGGCAGAGTACTTGGGTTCTACATACCTCTGGCACCATATCACATGGGAATGATGCTGCAAGTAACTATATACCCCTTTCTCATCATAATGACAACAGTTAGTACCAAAAAGTGAGAAAGTATAAATATTTTAAAATAAATTATTTACACAGCGGTAGGGTGTTTGCCTTGCGTGCAGCCAGCCCGGCAGAGCCAGGTTCGATTCCTCCGCCCCTCTCGGAGAGCCTGGCAAGCTACCGAGAGTATTCAATATGCCAAACACAGTAACAAGAAGTCTCACAATGGAGACGTTACTGGGCCCGCTTGAGCAAATCGATGAACAACAGGAGGACAGTGTTACTTACTTACAGTTCATGCTGTTGTTGAAAGAAAATATGGAAAGACTGAATAAAAAATAAAAAATATGTATTTGTCCTTGCCTGTAAAGAAATTCTTATTTCTAAACTTTATTTTCCTGAAGAGGGGGTTTGTTAAGCATAAGACATAGAAAACTCGTAAATATTCTGTCTCGTCATGGAACCAGGAACAAAAAGTCTACAGAATATCGGGAAAAATCAAATGTAATTATAGCATGAAAACACATAATTCCATTAGTGATGCTCTATGCTTTTGAGGAATGTTCACTGATGCAAGACAATAAAACTGAGCCCCACACTACTCCGGCTATGTTTCTGATGATTATTGCCCTGAAGATATCTATTTCAGATGGGGGTTCAGAAATATCTTAATTAAAAGGTTTGCCTTTTTGAGATGAAGTTGGTCACAGTCTTACCCTACAAACTTCCCATTTTTTCTTTTGCTAAGTTTGAAATGAAATTATTGCATTTCAAAAGATTCATGCCTATCATTCTTTTACATTGGTAGATCAGATTTTTGGGGGTGAGAGAAATACTGTTCCTCTCTGATTGTTGCTTTCATTGATTCCATACTTCTGAAATAAATAACTCTGTGCAGCCCAGACAGTGCTAGAAAAAAATCCACAAAGAAAGTGTTGTGTACAGCTAATAAGTATGCAAAAAAATGTAATTTAAAAAGCCCCCAAATTATTTAACAAGTGAGTATAGTATATGGCATGATAAAAACTGTCACTGAGCTCTCCATTGGAATATAACCTCACAGTGCTGGAAGGGCTTCTCATTTGGTTTTCAAGCTCTGATGATTCCACATCACACATTCTATGAGAGCCAGGACTGAGTAAGCATTTTGGCAAAATATCATTTGTTTAACTGAGAAAGTTTCGGCTGGAGGTTTGCTGGAGTAAAAACTAGCTATATTTTAATAAGAATTCCAGAGGAAGGCTTTTCAAAGGGAGGTATTTTGTAGCCATGGCAAAGACTCAGCACAGAAGGATGAGGACTAGTGATGTCTTAAGCCAAAAAAAAAAAAA